TCAAGACTTCCTGCCCAGCAGGGGAAAAACTTTATTTTCTGTAAATCTTTGTCTATTTTAGGATTGCAGCGGGGAAAAAGCCCATTTTATGTTTGTCTAAAACACAGGGGATTAAGTTAATGAGGCTTGACCAGCCCCTTCCATTTCTCTATTCTTAAAAATCAAAACTGCACTGGAGCAAAAAAAGCAATGCCTTTATCCACAGGTCATTTGTGGCTGCAAATGCATGTTCTGGTCTCCTTTTCTTTCCAGTGGTTGTTGGAGCTCTTTGGATTTTGTCTTTCCCCCCTGACATGCCACTAATACCCCATTAGGGGCAGCTGCAGTATCCTGCAAGAAGGACTACAGTCAGAAGCCTGGAGCATAAAGTAATTTTATAATTTGGCAGTTAACACATTTTGGCTTCCTTCCCTCTACTGCCTTCCCTCTTTGCAGACAAGCCTGGACAATTCCATAAAGCCTGTGTTTACATGGCTACTGTGAATCTGCACCACTATCCCTGAGGAAAAAACCTGATTTTTTTCTTCCATGCTGGGCAGCTTTTAGGGACCCAAACTCTTATGCCAGCTAGGGAAGGTGTCTGTGGGATTGTATGTACTAACACACTGACATACACATGGTAGATTTTATAATCCTTAAATACAACATAAGGCAACTTTAGAGAACTGGATAAGGACCTCTGGGTTAGAAGAAAGCATAACAACTTTAATCTAAACAAGCATCTTAATTCCCTTATCACAACTAAAATCCTAGTCAATACCAACCAGTATTCCTCTTTTCTAAGAGCCAAAATGATATTCAAGAAAGGAAATAAAAATTAAACTTTTAACTAAAAGAAAATTAAATATTTCAGAACTATCTGTTAGGATCTACAGGAAGCCAGATTCTTTTGCAAGGGCTGGCACATGGCCAGACTGACATAAAATTTAGTTTTAAAAATATTGACCCTGTAATCCTCTGTGACACAACAGTATGCTTGAGGAACAATTAATTGAAGCAGAACTCAATAGTACCTAGCATTGAAATAAAAAGTATACCGTTAGAATTTTAAGGAAAACAATCTTGACAAGAGACAATTTACCTGTATTTTGGCCAGAGTTGGAAGGAATAATAATTTCACTCCAGGCCATCTAATCAAGTACAGAAAACAGATTCCACAAGAAATTCTAAGAATAAAAAAAATTGTTATGAGTCCTGAGCAAAAGCAAGGTCATAAATCACACTGAGGGTGGGGGTTTTGGTTTTCTGTGGTTTTTTGTTGTTGTTGTTGTTTGTTTGTTTGTATTTTGTTTTGTTTTGTTTTGTACATTTGATTCATTTATTTGGAAATTAAGAAGGCCCATCTGGATACTTACTGATTTTTGAGTAAGTCACTGAAGGGGATCATCAAGAAGTACAACCAAACAGATTGTATCTATCATGCAGTTAGCTAACTGGAAGTTAGCTATGAATAGCTTTACTGTCAGAAGACACGTAAGAAAACATAGTTTTGCATACAGATATAAAGTGTCTAATACTTCTGTACTTCCTTCCTTGTACCAAAACAACACACTCGTGCATTTCTTTGGCTATATTTTCAGTGCTAAGCACCACTTTGGGTTGCTGCTTTGGAAAAGGCAGGAGTTTTGACGGAAGAGGCGTTAGTTCAGGAGGAAGGGGTGAGAAGGAGTTGCTCATCCAACAGGGCAGGGAACAGACTTCTCCACTGACGGAGCTTCACTGACCCCTAATGGACAATCCCCAACAGTGCCTGCCCTGGCAGGAATTTCCAGCCATGCCAGAAAACCTCACATTGATCAGCACTCCTCCTTTCAGCCTAATACGAACTCTGACACCTCAGTTTTTCACTATTTAGTGTCAACTTCTTTATTCCACCTTCGTATCTGGCCGTCTGAAGTGTTCTAAGAAGCCAGAAGGAAGAGGAAGGTGAACAGTGTTTAATGCAGCCATTCTGACACCTACCTAGGACACAGCAAATTCAATTTCAAATTGCTTTATAAACTAAAGCAAACCGCTTTTGCATCTTTCAACAAGAAATTAGTGTTAAGGACTAACATCTCTAACTGACCCATTTAAACTACTTTAAAGGGAAGATGTGCAATCAGCACAATCAAGAATCTATGGTTGTAATTTGAAAGGCACAGTCCAAGTATTTGTGCCTTTTCTCCCCAAGGAGTGACTATAGCTGCCATCAGGGGAGCACTGAGACATTTCCATTACAGGAGAAGGACTCTCTGCTTCAGCAAAACTGCTTCCATTTCCACTGAGTGAAAAACTGCCAGCACCAGAAGGGAGAATGAATCCATGCTGGTTGGTGCAGTTTCTTTTTGTCTTTCACAGACTGCAGAGATGAACTCACGGGAATGAACTACCAATACAGAAAAGGAACGAAACTGGAAATAGGCTGCATTTCCCATTCCCTATCTGGAAAAGGTTTTGTTTACATTCTTTTTTTCACGAGTTTGCTCTGTTGTCCCTTTGCTATGCACCTTGCTTTTCTTCCAGAAATGTACCTGCTATATATCTTCCAAACTATGGAGATTTTATGTGCAGAAGTAATGGCATGGGACAAAAAGGATCCCAAAGCCAAGGCCCACACTGACAGCCAGCAGAACAGCCCGTTTGAACAAACAGCACTAGTGTGCAAGAAAACTGCTGGCTTCCAAGGCTAACTGGATGAACTAAAAATCCTTGCCTAAGTCAAAAAGACCCACCAAATTTCAAAACCTGCTTAAATCTAGCACTTGAAGTAATGATCGTTTTGTGGTATCACTTTCAGAAACAAGAATGATAAAAGGCAAACCAACTCAGGCAAATACTTTGCTGCTAGAAATTCCTGCCCCTTCAGTGTGGTGACATAACAGATAAAATTAAATTACGTTAATTTCTAGTTAACAGAGCCACTTGGGAGACAGTCTTGAAGAGTAAAGGAGCCCAAGAAGGCTGGACATGCTTCCAGAAGGAAATCTTAAAGCTGCAGTAGCAAGCCATCCCCTTGTGCTGACAGATGAGCTGGCAGGGAAGAAGACAGGTCTGGCTGATCAGAGCTTCGGCTGAAACTCAGGAAAAAAAAGTTTGTGACCTTTGGAAGAATGGGCAGGCAACTAAGGAGGACTACATGAATGTGTTTAGGTTATATAGAGAGAAAATTAGAAGCACCAGGGTCCATCTGGAACTGAGTCTGGCTATTGCCATAGAAGACAATAAAAAACGTTTCCATAAATACATCAGCAACAAAAGGAGGGCTAAGAATTACCACCCTTTATAAGTTAGAGGGATAAACAGTGACAAAGGATGAGGAAAATGCTGAGGGACTTAATGGCCTCTTTGCCTCAGTGTTGAGTAGTAAAGCCAGCAGTTCTTTGGGTATCCAGCACCCTAAGCTGTAAGACAGGGATGGGGAGCACAATGAAGCCCCCACAATCCAAAGGGAAATAGTGAGTGACCTGCTACAGCAGTTAAGACTCACCAAGTCTACAGGGCTGGATGGGATCCAAGGGTCCTAAGGCCGCTGCTGATTGTGTTCAATGGGCCACCTTCTGCCATTTCAAATCCTGTGTTTAGTTTCACAACAAAATAGGCATTCAGGTGCCAGAGTGCCCAGGAAAGGGCAACGTAGCTGGGGGAGGGTCTGGAGCACAAGGCTTATGGGCTGAGGGACCAGCCCATAAGCAGGTTCTTTAGCCTGGAGAAAAGGAGCCTCAGAGGGGATGTTATTGCTCTTTAAAATTACCTGAAAGAAGGCTATAGCCAGGTGGGGTCAGTCACTTCTCTGAAGTAAAAAGTGACAGAAAAGGAGGAAATAGCCTAAAGTTCCACTGAGGAGGTTTAATTTGGGTATTTTAACTTCCAATCCTTTTTTTCCCACCTTCTTCTCATTTTTCTTCAACAGAAGCACCAAATCTTGACATTAGTTGCGTATCTCTGTTCTGAAGGAGCAGAAAAATCTAGTGAAAGGTAGATTTGACTGTCACTGTTTCTCTAGCACACACAGGACAACAGCGCATAATTCAAGATGTCCTGGTAAGCCAGTGGTTTCAGATTTTTCTGTGTTGTGACTATTAGACATGATACAAATTTCCAGTGTTCCTATTTTCTGTTCACTTGGGAAGAAATTACCTGTTAACCCACAGGCTGAATGTTCATTACAGTCAGGTTAAAAGGTTAGGATACAATCAAATATTGTTTGAGTCTCCCAACAGATATGAATTTTAGTTTTGGTAAAAGACACAGTGCTAACTGGACATAACACAGTATCATAAATTTACTGTAATAAATCATCACCACATGGAAGTCAGTGGCAAACCACCCTTCAACAACCACAATCTATCTAATAATTTCAGTATTTCATTATTTCTCTGATTCAAGAAAGTCAAGACCTCCCCCTCCCCCCCCACTATCTCAGAGCAGCTGACACTCCTGTGATTTATGCTTGCCATGCTCACACATTAATTTTGACCATCATGAAGAACCTGCCAGGGACTAAAGGACCTCACAGCATCTGATGAGTTTAGTGTAAAAAGATTTTTGGGCTCAGTGTTAGAAGGAAGCAATCCACAAACATTCCCTGGAGAATAGGAATAGCCTCCCTCTAACCAGGGCTTCTAAAGAACAGTGATGTGCAAACACGGTTTGTGTCAGTGCTCATCTTCCCCTTTTTTTTTCCATCCTGTGATCCTTGATGGTTGAGCAGACCATTCAAATAGTCCATCATGAGATGCTAACATAGGTTGGGCTGACTGCTGAACTTCCATATGAGACAACGAAGCAGCATGAATAACCTTTTTTCCCTCCTCCCCTCTTCCCATATCCCACCACTAATGCCTGTTGGGTGGAGCAAGGGCATAAATAAATTGGTTTTGATTAATATAAAAGCTGTAGAGATAAAATCAGGAGATAAAACCCTCTTCATAGTATAATGTATGGAAAGAAAACAGGATTCCTGAAAATTTTATGATTTCCAATGAATTATAAAACACATTCAAGCACTCAAATAAATATGTCCTTAAATGCAATAGTTTTTAATTTTTGGTACAAGAGACTGAGATCCCAATCTGCCTATATACAAACAGCACAGAATTACAAAAAGAAAGTTTATCTAAGTCAAATTTCTTAATTTTTATTAAATTCAAAAACTGCAGGAAAAAAAATCACAAGTTTCTAAGTACAAATAAAAACAAATCTGCTAAAATAAAATGGTTGTCAAGTTAAAACCCACTTTCCACAGTTTTCCCTTCCTTGCTATTGCCCACAGTATCATCTGAACTCCTAGAAGTGCTTTAGAAATTAATTTTATCTTACCAATAGGATAGTAAACTATAATAAGTTTACTATTTTAAAAAGCAAACTGTTTAGGCACAAGGTGGCAGAAGACATAAGCACAAATATCAACCACGCTTTCCTTAGTTTTTCAGTAGAAATCCATGTGTGCTACAGGCCTGCATGGCATTGAATTCAGAATGTCAGAGCTTATTCAGTGAAATAAGGGGTTTTTCTTGTGTGTGTGTGTGTGTGTGTGTGTGTTAACAGTTTGTTGTGTCTTCTTTTTCTCCCATAAAACAGAGAGAATCTGTTTAAGTCAGTGGTATACTTTAGTGCTCAGTGCCAGTTCTGGCTAATAGAGTGGCAAAGCAGACAAAATGTGTTCCAGCACCAGAGAATGCGAAGTAGAGAAGCTGTAGTGTGAAAAAGACTGGTTCATACTTGTGTTGTCAGTGTAACTAATAGTCTGGCGACCACCTGCTAAGACAGCATGACAAGCAGTCACATGCTATTTGAAGATATCAGCTGGGCCAGGTCATCAGCTGCTCTCCCAACAGAGCAGTGACCAAGGTGAACAACTAATGTCTGCTGCTTTTCCAACCACACCTAAAGGACTGTCAAACAGAAAATTAAATCATAAGACAATTAACACAAGTGTTGTTTAATATTCCACATTCTACCTTTTACCCATCATTTGATACTTGCCATTCTAATAACAGGTGCAGTTCCACTGTCATTCATAAATACAAAATTTTATTTGCACTTCATTAGTTTAGAAAGACCACAATGTTTTTCAATACCACAACATTCAGGACACACCAAGTTATTCAAATATGTATCTACTGATTTACCACAGCTAAACTAAACAGTGCATTTAATAAAAGATATACCAAAGATATAATTCACAAGTTCATTATCAGACAAAATCCTAACACAGTATTTGCTTGATGGGAATAATTTCCACCATTAGGAAAGAAAATAATTTTACCTTAGGTTCCCTTTCCCCATCCCTACAGATGTCCAGACAAAAATACACATATATATTCCTTATCACAGGAAAATGTATCATCTTAATTTCTTTTTTCCCCTCAAGAATTTGTCTAGGACAGCAGCATTGCTTTTTTATACTTCTTTTAGAGTTTGATATATCTCCATTCTTTTATTGAAACTTAATGATTCTTGTAACCAAATTTATGTTTATGCAGAAAATTATATATGCTTTTTCAAAGTGCAATCTTAGATCTGCACCAGGTGTGATGTCTTGGTACACAAAGAAAGGGTGCAGCATTAAACAAAATAAATAAAAGACTGCCAAAAATTAAACTTAGCTTTTCAATAAATCCAGTCAGCAGAGGATGCTACAGCCAAAAAAGTTTTCACTACATTAAAAGGAAACATAATGCTGATTATGGAAGCTTTGTACATAAAGTCCTCTGTTTTTAAAAAATTTGTCTTTAAAATAGTTAGCAAAGCACCATATACTTATCTTCATACCAGAAGAGCTTCTGCCTGCCTGTTTATAATAACAAAGAACTATTACAACATTACATTTATGTCAAGAATAGGTATAGATTTAATTTCTCCTCCTCCTCCTCAACTGGATGTGTGGCAAACCCCCACTGACTGTACAGTATTTATAACACTGGGGCAATGAACGAAACATCATTGTGAGGGAGAGGGGTAATAATTAAATGTTATAGTTGAATCCTACATAGGATTGCATATTTGCATATTTACAAGTTAGTGTGTAGCTCTGACTCGAATAACAAAGTGCAACGAGAAACTGCCAAATGATTGTAGTGCAGAGTAGTACAGATACTTTCTTTACCCTCCTGCTCATATTTTTCACTCTGGAGAAAGTAAAAAGTCAACAGCAACGGACATGTGGCCTTGGAGGAGGCAGTTCTGGTGGGATTTCTGGCTCTGGTTGCAGGGACAGGATACTGTTGGACAACTCACTTCTTATAACATCCAGTGGCATCTTAAAGAAAAGAAAAATCACCTGTAAACAGTCATCTGCATAAAAAGAACTCATTTCAAGAGTTCACTGACAGACAAAGCCTCAATTTCAGGGTATTTTGGGTCTTATTAGTGAAATGCAATGGTCAGCAGTCTGTGAACTGCATCATGCCCACTATGTATAATCCAAAAATTTTATCTGACAATCTGTACTTGTTCTCTGTCCTCCCAAGCATGTGCAGTCATTATTTAAACACTGACCATTTGTGTGACCAGAGGAATACTACCACCTCAGTATTTTACCTTTTTCAGAATGTCATCAACAAGTTTTAGAAATATTTCATCCACATTAAAATTATCCTTGGCACTTGCTTCACAGAACCGCATCCCAGTTATTTGCTGTGCAAACTGATGGGAGAGAAAATAAAATAACTCCATGAAGATACATGCAAACAGCAACAGATAGCAAATATATCCTCCTCATAAAACCTTAAAAAAAATCCAAACGTAGAACTTTCCCCAAATCTGAGATGGAAGTCTAATTCAATTAATAATCCTGAATCTGCATGGTAGAGAAAATATTGCAACATATAGTTAATTTTTGCTTAAAATAGGTTGATTGGAAAAATACTCTACATTTTTCCAGACTTAATTCATGTATTCAGTTGACACGTATTGCCGCAGACTGCCAAAAAGGAAGAATTTCTCAAAACAGCTGATCTCAACTTTATTATTCAAAATGTGGATAAGGGAGGTACAGATACAGACATTTGAAATAAGCCTTCACTTCCAAATCTTTGTGTATGCCCATACTGACATCAATCTGGTCAAGATAGTGCTGAGTATCACACTACAACAAACATACTCTCTTTACAGCTTCCTTAACAGTTTTGGGGTTGCAAGAGAACAAAAGGAACATGAAAACAAAGGTAAGCGAAGTAATCAAAACAGGGCTGTTACCTGTCCAAAAATAGTACTGAGAAGCAAACATCTAAAAGAAGGCCCACAAAGATTTCCTGACTAGAGATCTCCATTTGTGCTTCAAGTCTTCACTATGTCCCCTTTCAGAGCCCAAAAAGGAGTATCCCCTACACTACTGGTACAGTGTAAGCTGACTTGTAACTTACTCTTTGTTTAGACCAAAGACACACTAGTCCAGCAGGAGCACTTAAAACTGCCCATTACATACAAACACCACATGGGTTTTGAGAGACCATAACCATCACTTTCAGTATGCTCCCTGCATACAACAGCCTGAACAAGAGCAGCCACGGACCATCAGCAGCAATGCCACAACAGCTTTGCCTCTACACCTGTCCTTACCTTCTCTCCCTGCTGCCGAGTAATCTCTCGATCAACTTCACAGTCCAGTTTATTTCCAACTAATAGAAGCTCTGCATCTTCTGAAGCATACTGCAATTAAAACATTTCTAATTAACTAAACCTAGAAGCATAAGATTTTGTAATGCAAACACAATATAAAAAAAGGGCAATTCCACTACTAAATAAGGAACCACACTGACACACTTTATAGGTAAGTGTTCTTCCCAAACATTATTTCAAAAATTTTCAAATTTTAAATTCAATTTTTAAAACATGATTTAAGAACTAGCTGCTCTAGTTTATCTAAGAATGAACACAATGACCTTATTTCGCAGACAGGAAACTAACTCCCCTCCCCCCACTGCAAAGGTAAATGAGCAATGTTACAGATTTTCACTGACACTTCTAACTGGGACAATTCTAGTTCAAGAAAGCAGGAATGGACAACTATTTTGCAAGCAAAACACATCAATGTTAAATCCTGGCTAAAAGTAATCAGTGAAAGTAACTGACAGTAGCTTATTAATCCTAAACACATGCTGTAAATTCTTTTGAGGGGAAAAAGTCCTTGTTAAAAAAAGCATATAAAAAGAAAATACTTAAGGCATACCTTATCAATCATTTTCATCCATTTTGGTAAATCATCAAATGTTTCCTTCTTGGTGATATCATACACCAAAATAATTCCCTTGGCACTTCTGTAATAAGCTGAGGTAATGCTGTTGAATCTCTCCTGACCTGCTGTGTCCCTAAGAAGCAGCAGCAAACAGTGGCACAAATATTTCACCAATTTGCAAAGCACAGAATAACTTTGTTTACATTTTAATAATAACACTCCCACATTAATTAGAGACAATACATTTCCTTCCAAATGTGTGAATTTCAGGAAAAAAACCTGGAGCAGTACTTTCAATCATAAAAAGTTTTCATATTAGAACTATTTATCCCATACTAACTTCACCAAGAAAGGCCACCAAACATTTCTATGTGTGTCTGAGAGTGAAGCTATCCAATGAAAATGTACCAGGAGATAAAGCTGGTTTTGTGTTATTTGGTTTGTTGAGTGTTTTGTGGACTTTTGGTTGGGTTTTTTTAGCAGCTCTGAAAAAATGAAAAAAATAAAGGAAAAAAATGGATACATGCTTATTAAACACATCCACACACCCATCTATAAAATGAGCAATGCACTGGTCAGTATCATTTGAGCTTTCAGACACTTTTTGGATCAACCATAGCAATTCAGCCATGGTTCTAAAACTACTGCAAAACCTACTGGCACAGAAGTGAACGGAAAGAGTGAGCAATCACTAAGTGGTAAAACTTCTGCACTAGAGACCTGGCTTTCACACTTACAACTATTTATCTAAGGTGTGCAAGTAACATTTCCATGCTCACTGCCAGCACTTTAGGTATTTCAGACAGGGTGCATTCACACTGGAGAATAATTTCCAGCAATGACACTAAGTCACCCATACTAGCTATGGCTTCTGTTACAAAGTAGATGAGACAGAAGAGTTGTTTTTTACTGAACCAGAAAAACTTTTGAACTGCTTTTAATCACATCATCAAGCCTGCCTAGGGAAGATTTTTTGACAGTTATACTAAAAAAATAGTTGGTGCATATCCTAAGTCTTAAAATGTGACTTGTATTTCAATTGGTAGGTTATATGGTGCTCCAAAGTGATCAAGTATTTGTTGCTGGAGTTCGGCCCCCAAAGTCAATGTATAATTTTGAATTTTCACTGTTAGAACAAGTCAAAAGATGGATCAAAATTAAGAGTAGGAGGAAATTAATTAAAAATTAAGAGAGAGGAAAATTGTGTGCATGTGTGTTGGGATTCGAGACTTCAAAATTAATCCTCTTCAACAGTCACATTTTAGACAAAAGGAGGAGAATGAATTTGGCAATGAGATTAACAATGGAGACCTGAAACACTTGTTACAAAAAAAAAAAAACAACAAACCAAAAAGGTCACGTTCACAAAATGCCACATTGATTGTCCTGAAGATTTAACTCCTTTAAGGTTCTATACACAAGAGGTAGAATAGACTACCATAAACCTATCTTACTCTGCATAAAATCTTTAGGAATTTCAAGCAAGTTTCAAAGTGAAGCATTGCCACAAGTGTACTTGATAGCAACAAATATAATATTTGCTAGTGATTTTACAAAGTAAAGCAGAGTCCACTAGAAAAAGATTTTCAAGCTCTGCTTCACAGCCTGTGGGAATATGACTTATACTTCACTGCAAGCCAATGACACTGCAACACAGGGCAAAAAAGAACCAATTCATATTTTACCCATTTTTGTTTTATTTTTATTCAAATCTCACTCTCAGATTTTCAGAATTACATTCATATAAACCTCTGGGACCCTACAGAAAATGAAAACAGGTAGCCTGTTTCAATAAGGTCAAGCACCAGTAGTATTGCAGACCAGTTTTAGATGGTTAATTGGTAGTATTCTTTTCACTAATGAGGCATTTTTTGTAAAGCCATACAAGTTCTGGCAGCTGAAATTATAAACATATATATATATAACATTAATCACAGCAAGTAACTCTACATTCTTTTCCATTACTTTTTTATTACAGTCAGATTCATTTTTTGGAAGGTCCTTTGGAAGTTCAATCTGTTAAAAAATTAGTAATTTTAGTATGAACCGTTGATTTTCCACATATGGATAACATTGCTCTAGTGCTTATGAACAGAACTCTCAGAATAATGACCTTGCAGAGCAGCCTTGTGTCATCTGTTGCTAATCCAGCCTACTGATGAAGTGTATTAGGGGTGGGGTACCTTTAGTTCCATCATTCTGAGCACAAATAACTACATGGCAGGTGGAAGGGCACATCTCGTGGGAGAATACACCAATTCTATCTTTGTTCAGAGCAATGGGAAAAGTTGCTTTTTGGTTTTGTTTGTCAGTTTAGTTTTGCTGGCCAGTCTTTTCCCTCTTTTCTGTGCCCCTAGTGGAAAAGAGAAATAAAGAGGGTATTTCAGAGTCACTTGTCTGTGCCTTCAGGTAAGAGCTAAGGACCTTTAGCAACTCCATCACAGGGTACCAGATCACTGAGTACATACATTATAAAAACATAGGAGAAACAAACACTAATGCTCCACTACCCTCCCTGAAGGCAGTCATAAGTGCACTGGGTAAGTAGGCCACGAAGAGAACTATGCAACATTACAAAACTCTCCCACTCCAGCTATCTCCAACCCCACACTTTCCCAGCCCTGCTGAGTGTTCTATCTCCAAGTCCACCTGGTACTATCAGCTTATCCTCTCTCCACAATACCCTCAGGCTCTTTAAAAGTTTACAGCATTCCTAGGCTGCTGCACTCTGTGCTCCTGTTTGTGTAGGTCCTTCACCCAAATGTGACAACCTGACGTCTGGCTTGCTGCCTGTTTGGGACACACCACATGCTGTGGCCAGTTCAGAGCACCCATGGACAGCCTGGCTGCTCACTACCTATAATAAATGGCCAGATGACCACTGACTGTCACCTGGTCATGCCAATTCCAGTGCATTATGGCTGACTTTCTTCACCTTGCTTGAAGTCACTGACTCCCCCACACTTTAGCTCTCCTCCTGCAGTAGGTGGAAATGAAACCAGCCAGCAGGTGTTTGACTGTGAGCATAATATTCTAACCCTTATTTCCTTTGAAAAGCAGAAGAAAGTAAGCTGAATTTGCTGTCTCTAACATTACCCTTAAATTGTATTACTCTTCAAAATGTAAGGTGAAAGTTGGAAAACTATTTCTGCAATAAGTAAGTTTAAAATGCAACCCCAGGCTACCTAAGTAAACTGCAGTTTGAATACCAAGTTGATCTTTAGCATGGAAAATCTTGTCTTCTACTAGGTGCCATCATACTTTTCATGAAAATGTGCAGCAAATTCTTCCAGTGTTGAGAAAAAAAAAATTACCACCCCTAATGCAGAGCTCACATTAAAAGCACATCCAACTTTAAATGACTTCTTCTAATGTGCAGAGCTGGAACAATTATTCTTGCTATACTATTTTCATGGATGCATTCACTCCTGCAGTTTGAGTATTTTAGTAAGGATAGCTATTGAAGCATTAGTGGAAAGCTGGAAGAAGGGATGACCACTGTTTAACACTCATGACTTTCATGAGTGATACTAAGTGCTACTAGCTCTTTATTTGCTCTGGTCAGAATCAACACAATAGCAGAAGGCAGTTCAATTTAATTCCAATTAAAGTAAATTCCAGAAGTTCATATAAGAAGTTACTACAACTTAAACAATGACTTGGCATAACTGAAAAAACTGAAAGATTACTTTCTTTTTTTAATGCTAAAAGTAGTTTTCTTCTGTTGATTTTTTTTTTCCAAGAAAGTTTTCTAAATGAAAAGCATTGGTCTTTCTAATTTGTAATCAGAAACATACAGTGTATGTCCTCAATCTGCAATGAGAGAATCCAATGGCTTGACTGTTTTTTGCTTCTCAAACAGAAACTAGACATCACTCCAAAAATACAAACATACAACAAACAAAAGCAAATTAAAAAAAAATCACATAAAGCCCATTTTCAAGTGTTGACTTGTCATGTTCTATGGTAGACTGCATAAAACACAACACAAATACAGTTAATTAAAATATCTTTGGATAATTTATTTTTTACATGAATGTTCTCTGTGTCTATCCAAACCAGCTGAAACAAACACATGGACAGAAAACAGTCAAAACTGTCTCTGGCTCTCTAGTTAAATTAATTTTTTATGAGCAGCAGTGTAAAGTGGCAATAGAAGTAAAAATATTTTGAAACTTGCACAAAAACTTAACACTAATGTAACACTTTCACTGCTCTATGCTTCTATGGAACCTACAGGTAGTATTTTAAAAAATGCTTTAAGGTAATTTTTAAGGTTAATTCAGCTTGTCAAACAGATTTTTTTTCCTCCCATGAACCACAAATATATTTAAGATCTTTTATTATAGAAATAATTTCTTTCAGAGGTACTGAACCAAAGAAACAACATTCTTATACATTCTAGAACAGGGACTTTCCAAGACAACTGTCTCTTAAAAAAGAGAGCAGGCAGAATGTGAATTTTTTATGAGAATGCATTGCTTTAAAACACCTTCAGAAGCAAATGAAGTTTGTTTTGTTCCCAAGTCACTGGCTACCTTGAGCATTAAACCTGTAGAGGTATCAGAGAGCTCCCTTGGCTACCCAGAGAGGAACTGGGTGCAGCGGCAGGGCAGCACTGCTTTGCACAACCAGCTCCTTCTTTTCAGAGGGGAAGCTGGAAGTGACCGTGTCAGCTGCTTGTGTCAGAGACTGCCCAGATTACTCAGCTGAGAGGGCACAGTCAGACACCTTCCTGTCCTGCTTCAAAGCATCAGTGAGGGCTTGCTATTATTGGATCAGTTTTCCAGCTTTGAAGAAGCACTGATTCACAGATGCTTGGATTTACCTGGACACTCACACTATCCAGTAGTTCTGGTTACTCTACCTCAAGACTTGAGTTGCATGCAGGTATTACTTCTCACAAGACACAGGAGCTTGTGTCAGCCTAGAACTGCACGGCAGAAGCTAAGTTACCGTATGCTAACACTTTTGGCAACCCAAGCGGCACTACTGACTGTTCCAGGTAGCACGAAAAGGTGGATACTCCCCTGTGTCCTCAGTGAAGCTCTATCATTGCATCATGTAAGGAATAGAAGGCTGTTTCCTGACTTGAAGTCAGGGAAATCAGGGCAGCAGGGACCAGACAGGAAGCTAGAGGTGAGAGCAGACACCTCTGTGACCCTCAGGGCACAGTTCCCCATTATGAAAGGAACACAGGAGAAAAGTCCTTTTGTATTCTACTCTCCTAACAGCAGCAGGTGTGAAAGCTGCTTTGAAAAGGATGTCCTGCACACCTAATCGCTAGAAATATTCAACATTGTACTGTTTTAAGGTACCTTTTGATAATCTCAAGTGGTAGAACTTTGTGGAAAACACTCTGCTGATAGTGGTTAGGGAACAGACAGGTCAAGTGACCATAAAAATACTGAAGCAAACTTTTTAAAAACCATTCTTGTTTAACTCTAGAAGTAGAATAATCAGACTACTAAAAAAAAAAAAAAAGCAAAATATCATGCTTTGAAATGTAACTTTAGTCATTTTAAGAAAACAGGTAAGTGTAAACTTCAGGAATTATCTGTTAATTGAATAAAACAGGTCGTTTTTGTAGTAAAGTTACTGCAATCAATGTATATAACACTACCAGAAAGTACGATGCAGCCTAAATTCTATCACTATGTAGGTATGAAAGGAGACTGACTGATGATCAGCCATGCAATTGAAGTCTTTATATCTAAATTTCCTTGACTTGGTAAACTGCTCTCCTCTTCAACCTAACAATTGGAAGTACAAGAAGGAGCTAAGGGACCTGGGTTTATTTAGCCTGGAGAAGAGGAGGCTCAGGGGAGACCTTGTCAGTCTCTACAACTGCCTGAAAGGTGGCTGTAGCCAGGTGGGAGCTGGTCCCTTCTCCCAAGTAACAGGGGACAGGGTAAGAGGAAACAGACCCGAGTTCCACTAGGGGAGGTTTACATTGGCTATTAGGGCAAAAAAATCTCTTCACCAAAAGGACTGTCAAGCACTGGAACAGGCTGCCTAGGGCAATGTTTGAGTCACCTTAACAGACATGACCCTTGGGGACTGGGTTTAGTGGAGGACTTAGCAGCACTGGGTTAATGGTTGGACTCATTGATCTTAAGGGTCTTTTTAAACCTAAACAATTCTGTGATAATAAGAGTTTAAAGGTAGGTCCAACAACATGCACAACAGAATTCAGAATTAATTAGCAAAAGTCATGCTTATCTAATTACTTTTCTGAAAAACCTGGAAGTATGCCAAGGCAGATTTAAAGATTAAGTATAAGAACAACATTTTAACAGCCACTGTTGGAGAGAAAGTGAAACTTAGGAACAGGATGTCATGTCCATGAATTTTACCATATTTTAAAATATTATCTCTTTACATTGTGTTTTCCTTGCCATTTTAGTAAGGCTTCCCATAGGAGTAATTATCACATCTTAGCAATCTATCAACTTTAAATTCAATTTTTAAAGTGCCCTATATCCTACTAGCATATTCTCAATATGTGGAAAATAATGGTTTAAACATCTCTTTTCCAAAAGTTTTCACTCCTATAACGTATTTATTCAACATGGGAATTTTTTTTTATAAACTTAGTACATTTCACAATAAGCATATTAGGTATACATTAGCATCTCCACATCAGAATTTTCTGTTACCTCTGTCAGCTCCAGCAGACCCTGGCTAACAATTGCTGGCTCAACTGCCAGTCTTGTGGTCATAGGTTTCCAAAGAGGGACAGATGAATGAAGACATGCCACTAACATTCAAGTGTTAGGTGACTGATGAGACCAAAGATGAAGCAGCAGTTAACTCAGAGGGAAGCAAGACAGACACATGGTGTGACAGACATAATTGATGGTGACCTGCCAAGAGGAGTTAGTAAACTGAATTCACTGCATCCATGTAGTTAAGAAAGAAAAACTACCACAATATCCCAAAAGTGTAATAAAAAGAATATTTAGAGCTTCCCCCCGCCTATGGATTGTTAGCAGCTTAAACAGTTTAACTACAATGCTAATTATGCATCACACACTGTTAATAAACCAAAGCTAAGCTTCTACATAGTAGTATGTAAGATTAATGTATAGAACATAGCTGGTTTATTCTCTCATTATTATGCTTATGTATTGTACTACTCTGCAAAACAAAGGAGTGTTTAGCTTAATAACTTCTAAGCAATAAAAATAGTATTAATCACTAACATGGAGAACCATTACCAGAAATCATGTAGCCTACTGCAAAAAGGAAGAGTTTAGCTCAGACATTGACCTTTCTGTAGTAGGACATCAGTACCAGTAAAGGTAGAGTCTTATTTGCTTTATTTTTTTAGGGTGGATATGATTTACTTAAGTCTTGAATACCATTCACTTTGAAGTTATTTAAAAACAGTGTCAAAGGAACAGCACTGCCTATACCAAGCTTCAGAAAAACAGTTTAGAGAACACTTCACAGTTGCTTTACAATTGCTGTTACAATGAAGGTCAGTTTTAATCAGTCCAGAAAAATAAAGAAAACAAAATATACTTTATCTTGCGTCTATTTAACAGTCAACTTTTGTTGTTTGTAGAACTCCTATTTCTTATGTAGGTGATGTCATTCTTCCAGGAAAAGGGGCTCAAGGCCTCTGTGATGCATTAATATTTCAGTAATTACATTCATGCCCTACTTCTAACTTTATCTCTCCTTCTCCTCCTTTCACCCTCACAAAAATCTAAGAGCTATGTGGTTTGGTTTAAGTCTTGTGGGAATGGAGGAGAGGAGTAATAGGGTAAGAGCTAAACCAGCTTATAACAGTTAATAGTATTAGACAAGCATATTAATTCATGCTGGAACATAAAAATTAAAACATATTGCTGGTTGCACATTTGTTTTACTTACCAGATTTGTAATCTAATTTTCTTTCCTCTTAGCTCTACTGTTTTGATTTTAAAATCAACACCTATAAATAAAATACAGTAAACAGAAAAGGAGGAATAAGAAGCAAAAGTAATGAGGGTGCAATTTTTTTTTGATACTTTTTTTTTAGATCAACTTGTAACAGTCTGAACAAGCAGAAGGGTTTGCACCACTACATTCAGCTCAGGAACATCATGAGGATTTGACAACCACTAAATAATTCGTGAGCCATCCAATTTGGCAGCATCACAACATAAACCTTCCACTTTGTGCCAAATTTCCAGCAGCAGGTAAACCCAACACAACAGTAAAACAACAGGCTCAGAATGACTGTTTCTCTCCTATTCACCTCGACTGTCAAGGACAAGCCTGTTCTACTTCCAACTGGTACAGATGCCCCGGAGGCATGGAGCAGAACCAATCCCTTCACATCAGTTTTGCTGTTTGTGAAGCAGGAACAATATAGGTCTGGCTTCCAGGATGGCTGCTTAGCATCTGTAATGTGCTGTAGTAAAGTGCTAGAATTGAGGTCGGTTTATGAAGAAGTTTATCAAGACTGTAATTTTTAAGTCCTACAAATTAGAAAACTTCTTATATTCAAAGAGGGTATTTGACTTTTAAAATTTATTTTATACCTGTATGGTACTTTTATTGATCCTCTCAAAACTCCAGACGCATTTTGAATGCACGCTAAATATCAAAAATAGAACCATGAAGACTTTGTTAAACAGAAAGATTTAACTTTTATAAAAAAATAATGCTGGCTAGCAACACATAAGACATACTGTAGTCAAACAATACCTAGACACAAAAGATTACCACCTTAACTACAAAAATGTATCAGGGAATAAATGTCCTTGAATATAATAGATTTGTAGATTGTGATCCTGTTCATTTTAGGATACACGTGTAAGAAGATTTTTGCTTTAGTTCATTCCTCCTAACACAGCTAAATCAAAAAGGGAGAAATAAAAAGACATGGGAACATGGTTCAGACCTGTACAGTTAAAACTCACACAGAAGTGTAGAAGCATAATGTGTTGGAAACACTTTTACCATTTCAAATACAATTGTAAACTAAGAACAGGGATGAAAGTGAAGAGAAAAAATGGTTTTTATTTTCTCTAACAAAAACGACACATTTTCCCAAAGACTATCTATCCTTGGTAAAAGCTGAGTGTCCCTGCTGATATTAAGAATTGAGATTGAATTTAAACTTTGACAGAAAGGACTGAACTTGGCCCTTATGTCCATATTTTTGGTTTGCAGAGCAGGTGGACATTTTTCAGCCAGATTAAATAAATGGAAGGATCACTGACCTTCATTCTCCTAAACAAATATCCCCTCTAACAGCCTGCAGTTGCACATTGCATATTGATAAAAGTTATGGTCATCACACCATGACATTTGTCCTCATTCTCCATGACCTTAATAGTTTCTAGCACACTTAATCACCAATTCTTGGAGTGATATTCAGGACATGATGCCTGTGCTTCACTTACACACACGTATCTCTTTCAAACCCCAGGAGTTAACATGTTAAACTGATTTGTACTAAAAAACTCAAAATCTTTAATGCCAATTTTCAAGTGTTCATATGCAAATTGATAAAAATATTCAAATTATTAAAATTTCAAAGAATTTATTAATCCTAACTTCAAAAAATATTTTGTACACTTCTGAAAAGTGACTGTCTTGGTGCAAAAGCAGAAGAGAAATGATCCAGCTATGTTCTAGTATTCTAAGTGTGTGAAATGAGAATTCTCGTAATTCTATTCTAATAATAATATTTGCAAAGAAACACACATCCATTTCTACAGTTATAAGCCTTTTCTCTATATAAATGCATTGAAACTATAAAATGCAATTTTCTTAATAGTCATAGCTTTGTCTATGAAATAGAACTTTACTTGTAATTGCTTGCCTCAAACCTCTCCTACCTTCAAGGAAGTTTGAATATAACTGCCCAGACATCCCAATTCCAATTCCCAATCCTGCCATTCTGTCATACAGGACATACTGTATGATTTGCCATTCATTTGATGTTAAAAAAAGTCTAAATTATCTCTGAGCCCAAGCTGAGTGTTAAAACCACCACAGGGATTTCATGTAAGTTTCAATAATTATAACATGAAAATATTTTTATTTTTATAGAAGTGGTTTATAAAACCATTGCAATCTTATACAAAACAAAAAACCAAAAAGCTTTTGTTATATTTTTAAAAACAAAATTAATTAACTATGGAGAGAAAATCCAACTGTTGTAATAAACCACATTTTCAAATGGGACTTCCTGGGACTAGAAGGTCCAATATATTAATAAAATGAAGTAGAAAAAAGACGACATATTGAAGAGATGGTTTCAAAATAAATAATATGTCAACAGCATTCTTAGTTTAAAGGCAGAGCTTTCTATTAATCACCTTAAAGTTGTACCATGAGATATTTTCCTACTATGAAATTTTGCAAGGAATGATACAAACAAGTAACAGTTTTGGAAAAGCAGACAGGATCTTCTATAGAATTGTTTGAATCACTTAAGTCAGACAGAGTGCCAGAACTCTTCAAAGGTTGCTCAATTATGTTTTATAATTAGTAATGCTCTGCAAGCATCAACACAATACCAAAAGCTTCATGTCTGCCAACACTGAAGGAAAAAATCTGGCAGCTTTCCTTTTGCACACGGAGAAACAAATTCCTAAGCCTGTCAGGTTTCATTAGCCTGTTTCACCATAAACTGCCAAAGCCAGTGCTTCGAGTTTACATACAAATTAGTAATTCAATTAAAACAACAACACAATAATTTGTTTTCCATTCAATTTCAAATATTGCATTGAGTTAAGAAAACGGTCAATGAAAGAAATTATTTAGTTTGACATATGTTAATGGAAATACCAAATGAAAAGTTTTGCTATCCATACAATTACTCTGGCATGGTTTTATATATAGTTCAATAAAATAGAAGAATCAACAATTACTGTTGACACCTGCATTAAATCTGAATAATGTATCTTATAAAACAAAAGGAATTTAAAAAGCTCTCTTTGGCTGCTACAATACCAGCAAACTACCAGTGGTTTGCATGCTACCTAGCTTGCATGTAAAGGCTGCTGGGTTAATTGTCAGTGAGTAACACAATATACACATGCCAGGAAACCTGACAAGTGCATGTGCTTATGACCATACTGAAGCATGCCATTTGCCAGGTCACACTGATGTAAGGGGAAACAAAAGGCTCATTACAATCCCCCCTCTCATTAAAAAGTCAGCTTTCTCTATGCATCAGGCTTGCATGGACAATAGGCAATCAGTAATATTCCAAAATTATTACACTCTGACAACTATAAATCCAAATCACCATCTCTCTTTTTATGGATTTTATAGATTAAAATAGTATGTGTTTTGGATGTCACATTTTGACTCCCATTTTTTGCTGGAAAGGCATTTTTCAGGAGTCCAAACAAACATCCTACAAGAACTAATGAAAAAGGCACAAAAATACAAATCTCAGCCTCTGGTTTGGGTTTCTGATTTTGCATTTATTTAAGCATTTGAAGGTATATTAGTTGAGCTTGCCCTACAACTTAAAACTCCAAAGGAGCATTTCTCCTCTCCCCAGAGGCCAGACACATGTTAAACAAGGCATTAAGGACACCAACACTAATCTGGTGTAACACAAGTTAAGGATTTGCAACATTTTATTTAATGTGCACCATCCTTGTTAGTAGCACATGAACTTTGGATGAAAAATTTAGTTTGTGCAAAGAACATCTATTACAACATGGGCTCAACTGAAGCTATGCCTTCTCCAGGAAAAACAAAGGGCTACCAGGACAGAAGGGTTTAAAAGTATTTTAAACACACAGCCAAACAACCTGCCTGAACTCTTTTCAAAACTAAACAGCCTTAAAAGAAAGAGAACAGAGACTCAAAATAAAAGCACAATAATGAAGTTCTAGATAAGGGCAAGTCACTGAGGATGACATTTCTTGTCAATGAACCAAACTTGCAACTGTTTCAAACTTGAGACTGAAATCCTACAAAAATGAAGCCTAGCCCAGAACTGACTACGGTATATTAATTTATATTAATTTCTCACCCCAAACAGAACTATAGCTTATCTGCCAAAGCATAAACTGAAACACACACCACTGGGTGCAGCCTTTCTCTTTAAAGCTAAAAGTATTTGTTTAGAAATAAAATAGTAAATAAACTTCTTACTATGCATTTTATATTTAAATTTATAATCTTTAATTTCCTTTCATAAGAGACAGAAAAAGAAAGTGGAAACAGTTTTGCTTAATGCACACAGAGTGACCTTTCAGTTGGCCAGATCTCCTGGTAACAAAGTTAATGGAAGAGCTGGGAAAATAGATGCAAATAGAGCACAAAAAAAACCCCTCTAACTACAATCAATTCCAATGGATTCAATTTTCAGAGGCCTATTAGTGATTTGCAACAAAGTAATTCAATCAGTGAAAGATAATCAGACCATGCTTAAAGAAACACTATTAAAAAAATCAGAGGTTATTACCAATTAAGCCTTAAAACAAACATATATAAAGACTATGACAGGTTATTGAATCTGGTCATCTGACACCATTATGCAAAAAAAAAATTTCTTACTTATTCTACATTTGATAACTGATATCACATGAGTTTTGAGGTAAAAACCATCTTTATTACAAAACATCCTGGTTACTTAAACCTATCCCAAAACTGCCAAAGTCAATGAAAAGATGAGCTCGAGAGCATGCCTTCTGATTTCCATCATCTTGCTTGAGAGGGGGGAAGCAATCAACAACAAAAGGCACATAGGGAGGACAGGAAAAGATTAGAGAAACTGTTACAAAGAAAAAATACCCCAACCCATTTTGTCTTATTTTAACCGAACTCTAGGGGAAGCATTTAGTTTTTAAGTGGAAATGCCTCTTTCAAAATACACATTACAAATTCAAAAATTTCAAAGAAGAGATCTGGAATCATTTAGTGCTAAGTCAGATTTAAGTATGTTTGGGGATTATTTTAGAGGCAGGTAAAGTA